GCGTGAAGGCCGACTGGACTCTGATGACATGGAGGTTGCGGGACAGGGCTTCAGACCCTGGCTTCTCCCCAGTGGGAGAAAGGAGACCCTGGCGTGTGGGTGCTGAGTGCAACACCCAACTGTAGCCTAAGGGAAAGTAGGGTAACCTGCAGGATAGGTGAGTGGGCTTCAGCTGAAATGGGGCTGGAATGGTCCCATTTCCCCTTGAGTGTGTGCCTTCTCCTCTTCCCCTCACACTGTCTCTATGTATCTGCAGGTTGTGGATTGTGGAGTGTTTCAGTTCTGTTCATAAGAACAGCAGTTCTCTGCTAGTTTTCTCTCACTACCCATTTCTCACCGAGTTGGTACACTGGATCCCTTACTGCATATTCTCATTTTGCAGATGAGAACCTGAGACAGGTTAAGTAGTCTTTGAATGACACACAGCTGTTTAAACTATGATGCCTACCTCCATGGTAAACAGTCAGAGCCACAGAATGGGACAAGGAGGCATTAATGGATTCAGGGTGGGAGTAGAGGATGGTGACAGTTGGCTCAGCAAATGTACACACCAACACATTTTTATTCCCAAGAGCCACAAATCTGGGAAAGAGGGACCTGCCACATCGATGATCACTTTGTTACCCCACAGCTTTTCTGTACAAATAACCTTCTTCAAGGAAGGGCCTGGGAGTGAGGAAACTGCCTCCTGCCACCTTCTCTAGTGACCCAGCTGGTATGATGCTTGTAACTGGGGTAATTCTTCTTTCCCCACCAACCGTGGGCCTGCTTCAATCACCATCCATTCCCAAGTTTACTTGGAGAGTGAGATCTGCACATACACTGCTCACGTGTGGAATGTGCTAGGAGCCTGGACAGCCCTTGCATCTTCATTTATTTACCTTTTTTTTTTTTTTTTTTTTTTTTTTTTTTTGGCTTTTCAAGACTGGGTTTCTCTGTTTGTAGCCCTGGCTGTCCTGGAACTCGCTATGTAGACCACACTAGCCTCAAACTCACAGAGATCTGCCTGCCTCTGCCTCCCAAGTGCTGGGATTAAAGGCATGTGCTACCACTGCCCAGCCTTTTGCACTCTTTCTAATAATACTATTCTTCATATAATGGTCTGTTGGTGCCTCAGAGGATAGATGGAAGTGGGTGACCACTTCTTTCTTTACCAAATTTGGCTGGATCCTGGACTCTAGTATGTCACTTGTAGACAATAAACCTTCCTCTTCTCTCTATGTCCTATGTCTTGCCTAAGGTATGATGCCTCCATGTAATGCATATAGGTGCTGCCTGTGATTCTTTGCCTAGGAGAGGCCATCATGCTAATGAGTAGTTGTGGCACACATGGAAAGACCATCATGGCTTCTGATTACAGTAGAGGGTTGGACCTCATGTGTTCACTGCCTGAACATAACCCCCAATCTTGCTTCCAAAGACATTCCCTCAACCTAGAGTTTCTCCTGTTAATGTGCTCCTGTGTACAGAGGTTTTGGCTTCAAGACTTTCTGTGGAATTGGAAAGCACAGGTTTAGATCTGAGAAGGCCACTACTTGGTGTGTGTGTGTGTGTGTGTGTGTGTGTGTGTGTGTGTGTGTGTGTGTTTACCCATGCTTCTTTTCTAGCCCTGTTTACCATCTCTTATCATGCTTATACATAGAAACCATTCAGAAGAGGTCAAGGGCTACTGATCAGTTAAGAGTAGAGGGCTGCCCAAAATACCCAACCTAACCTCATGCCAGTCTTGCCACACCTGGAGTACTAGGATCCCTTCCTGAAAAGAAAGACCCTGGCTTATGTCCAAGGCTGGAAGACCATTCCCTTTGTCCTTTGTGCCATTCCACGGCTTGGCAAGGAAGTCCCATTACACTTACTCTTTTTCCTGAGATGAAGATCCCTGTCCAGGTACCAGGCTTCCTCTTTGGGGACATTATACTTTCTATACTTGTATTCTAGGCTGGAGCACCTTGGTCACACCTTCTTCTGTACTCCTTAGAATGGAACAGAGGCTACAGGGAAATAGTTTTTGCACTAGAATCATCCAGGCTGCCTACACCTACATTACAGCCCCTCCTCCACCCAGGAGGCCCCACCCTCTTGGCTTTGGAATGGCCTGGTCGCTGCTCCTGGGCCCCCTGTTTGGGGGCCCTCTGCTTCAGGCTGAGGCTGGAGTGCCACTGCAGGAGGGGGAGGAGAATCATAAATAACCCTAGTGGCTGTGACCTGAGATATATAGGAGGGGCTTGGTCTGGTCACAGGCCCCTCTGTCCCAAGCAGGCTTGCCTGTCAATTTAAGATTGCCTCCTCTTAGAGCCCCTTTATTCATATGTCCATCAATTATCTGTTTACTAAGCCCAGATGTGGTATAATCCATTGGAAGAGAGAGCCAGAGGTTCAGCTATAAGAAGAGAAATTTGTGAGACCACAGATGTGATCAGAGGAGGTACTGGGAACAAAGTCTTAGTTCATCCCTCAGGCTGTCTGTCTGCTTATGATAATGGGCTGCATGCCATGCAGGTGTCTTCCCTCTCAGTATAGAGACAGACAATTTGAGAGCTATTGGTTTACAGATGTAGGCTCAATCCTCAGTGGACACAGAGCTGTGAGGAAGCACTCCTGTTTAACCACCAGCAATTGTGTGCATGCTCAAAGCAAAAGGTAAACATAAGTGGGTCCCAACCTACATCTACGTTAGCTTCTAAAGTTCCTGAACTTGAATGTGCAGGATGGTGCACAATGCATAGGCACGCACACTCAAATGTCTACACAAAGCAGGCAGTTTCACCACAACAGCACAGACAAATCAGAGGTACACTAAAACCTGTACACACAATACCAGACCTGTAGTCACTAGTACCAGGTAGATTCTGTCCCACATGTTCTTCTGTCAGGACAGCATATTTGGTCCAAGTTGATAATGCTGTTGAACTTCCTAGGTAGAGTTAACTTTCAAGGTCAGAGGTTAGTAGTAAATTAGCTAGGGCTCCCTCAGACATTTTTGCAAAGGGATCAGACTCTCCAGAAATATGTCAGCTTCCTGTCTTGGTCAGAAATAGAGGAGCTGCCCTGCTGGGACATGCCTGACTTGGGGCTTGCTATGACCTGGCTGTAGGCTATGTTATGTCTCTCAGGAGAAGGGAGGATATTTCTGAGACTGGGCTGTCTACTGACCTTAACCTTTTTCATTAAAGAAATGGAGATAGATGAACCTGAGTTCAGACTGGTACCACTCCTATGGGTGCATAGACAGCATTGCCTTACTAAATGCACTCTAGCAGGTGCCTACAGGGGCATGCAGTCCCTAACTGTGCATTGACATTCACTGATCATGTTGATGTATGCTGACATATTCAGTGATCCCAACACAACTCCTAGATTCTGATCTGGTATGGTTTGCAGAGATCTTCTATCATCATGCATGCTCAGCCTCTCCCCTTGAGCAGGGCAGAGATAACTGGCCACTGTAGAGATGGGTTAGTCCCTGCCTTATAGTAGCTTTCCCAGTGTTGTGGTAGCCCCATTGCTTACCTGTTCCCTTCTGCCACTTGTCCTACTGGTATTTATATACCTTCTTGTCTCCAGAATATTATTAAGAGTTTGGTTACAGGTACCCTCTTCATCAATAAGATATACTTGGGAGAAAATTCTGGCATAGTCAGGGGTGACAATATTGCCATTAGCAGACACTACCTAGAAAGTCCAGGGGTGTATGGGATCTGTGTGGTGCTCTTATCTGAGGGCACTGACAAGGTGGTACATAGTCATTCAAGAAAATTGCTAGGGGCAAATCAGGTGGCCTAAGATCCTGCATCCCAAGTTCTAGGTATTTAACTGAGGTCTCTTGATGCTGACAAAGTTTCATCTACCACAGGCTTCCTGTGTGCGTTAAGTTTGTGTGGCAGTTTTGCTTTCTGGGTCTCTAGAGAGTAGAACTTGGGACAAGGGAATGACAATGGAACCTCAAGATAGATAAAACCAGCTAGAGTTGTCTGGTAACAGCATTAGTTGAGTAATGTCCACTGCAGGAAGGCAGTACCAGCTCGAGAGAGCCTGATATAATGATCAAGGTGCAATATCCCAGGGGCAGATTCCAGAACAACCAAGATTACCCTGTGTGTCACATGTCCTTGCCCCAGTGTGGTACATGTCTTGGGGCAAAATTTAGTCATGCAATATAGAACAGCAGTGTGTGGAAAAAGCATGTTACAGAACAGTAATGGAGTCAGGACATGTAACATGGCGTAACATAGAGCACAGTACTTTACATATAATACCTGGCATGATGTTAGGAGCATCTAGGGCTACTGGTGGGCTCCCATTGCCAAT